TCCTGCTTGCTAGAGAATGGGTAATTGAAAAAAAACAAATCTACATTACGCTCTGAACTTTAAAAAGACTTTTAAAAGTAAAGAATAAAGAGTGCCACGGGGGATTATAAGATCAGCTTTTCAAATTTGAGTTATGCTGACAAAATGAGTTTGACTCAGGAATATCTCCAGTGCCCACACTGAGGATTTAGCAGCACAAAGAAGGCTTTATCGAGGATTGTGTCCGAGCTTTTTACATCTCTTCCTTACTCGCTTTGTTTCAAAGGACAAGGGAAGCAGTTTGCTCCATGTGTTTTTGTCTCAGCTGTTTGAAAAATGAGTCCTACCATTTTTTTTTTCATCAAATTGTATCAAAGTTGGAATTTGTTTCTATGTTAGCATGCTAATTGTTGCCATGAGTGCATTCGATCCAGTATTACGAGCCAGAACCAGTGTATCAATGTAAAATGCTATGAGACTTGTGGTCACGTCTTCTTTCGTCAGGCTGCGTTGCTCCAAACCAGAGGTCTACTTCCACCCATAAATGTTCCGGTTGAATACGAAATGGAATTTAAACTGTTCTCCACTACATGCTGTTCGCATTTTGACATCATGAGACCAAGATGAGATGTGGCAAATGAGTGCCATCGCCACAAATGTTCACTTTATGCTTTCTGTTTCGAGTGGGATGAAATTAAAGTCAAATATCGTGATGATCAATTCATCAACGAATACGCCTATCCCTACATCGTATAAATGGCATCGGTAACAATAGAGAAGTCCTCTGGCAACTCTGCAACTTCCAAACCAAGGTCAGTGTTCATTAAACCTAGTGAAGCGGAGTGGTTTGAGTCTTTCATTTCGCATTGACCTTCATAAATGCCCTTCTGCCGGTCTCGCCGGGATGTGGAGGGTTTCAAATTTAGACCATTTACGGCACAATTCTCTCGGATCAAATCAGAGATCAGCCAGGGATTGTCGGACATTATCGGAGGACGTGTTGGGAAAAACTGTCAGGACTGAGGTGGCGCCGCCTCGAGTGTTCTGACGGGCGGTCAGCACGGGCTCCCGAAAAGACTAACGGCTCTGTGCTTTGCACGCATGCGTGCACGCTACCCCGCCCGCCCACCGCACCGCAACTTTGGTTCCCAGTAGGCTGACGATACTCCACGTAAGAGGTGATCATAGCACCGACACGCTCTCCGATTGTTCGAGGCCGACAGCTCCGTGACAGTTTGTCAGCTCGGCAACAAGCCCGCGTGATCCGCGTTTACCGGGATGAAGGCTGGCACCCCGAGGGCACTCGGCGGCATGTCATTACATACGTGGCAAAAACGTCTTTTTGCAGGTTGAGTCTGCCTATAGCGCTGACTCCTGACAGCAAAGAAGGCAAGTGATGCTTCAATAATTCATGTGAGGGAGAGGAGGAGGCAAAGAGAGCGATTCATCGAGAATGCGGGGATGGTTGACAGAGGGGTCAGAATAGGGAGCGGGAAATATCAAGCGAGAGGAGTAAATATTCATCATAATCATTCTGGGTTGGTATTGCCACTTCTCGGAACATCCGTCATTTGTGACAGTGTTATGTTGTGTCCATTCACCGTCCGAGGAGACAGCGTTTTCACCACCGTGAGTTACATTGCTTCCTATCTCTGGTTTGCCAACCTGGATTCTGCTATACACACAGCTAAACGGGAAATGATTATGATGATTGTTACGTCATCCCAAACGTCCAGCCGGGAGGAGTTCTCAAAATTACAGAAGAGCCCAACTTTTATTTTTTTTTGAAATTTTAAATCAATTTCTGTCTTTGTTAGATTGATATCCACATTTACTGAAGTTATTATTTCATCCCGGTCTGTCTGAATACCGTATTTTCCACACTATAAGGCGCAGTGGATTAGTAGTTGCACTGTCAGCTTTTGAGAAAATTAAATGCTTTTAGGTGCGCCTTATAGTGTGGAAAACACGCTACTTTCATTTCACTGAGGTTCTAGAAAAGAGGATTTTTTTTTTCAACTCCGCTGCCTGATTTGTATAAAAATAGATACATAAAAAGGTACATTTGTTTCAGATTGTTCTCTTATTTGGGGAATAGTTTTCTTCAGACTTCTCGGAACATCCGTCATTTGTGACAGTGTTATGTTGTGTCCATTCACCGTCCGAGGAGACAGCGTTTTCACCACCGTGAGTTACATCGCTTCCTATCTCTGGTTTGCCAACCTGGATACTGCTACACACACAGCTAAACGGGAAATGATGATGATGATTGTTACGTCATCCCAAACGTCCAACCGGGAGGAGTTCTCAAAATTACAGTAGAGCCCAACTTTTATTTTTTTTTTTTAAATTTTAAATCAATTTCTGTCTCAGATTGATTTCCACATTTACTTTAGTTATTATTTCATCCCGGTCTGTCTGAATACCGTATTTTCCGCACTATAAGGCGCATCGGATTATTAGGTGCACTGTCAGCTTTTGAGAAAATTAAATGCTTTTAGGTGCGCCTTATAGTGTGGAAAACACGCTACTTTCATTTCACTGAGGTTCTAGAAAAGAGGATTTTTTTTTCAACTCCGCTGCCTGATTTGTATAAAAATAGATCAATGAAAAGGTACATTTGTTTCAGATTGTTCTCGTATTTGGGGAATAGTTTTCTTCAGAAGTTTATACAAGCTACACTTTTTTTTTTACGGCAGCTATTCAGTAAAGAGTTGCAGACTTGCAGTTTCACAAGCCAACATATGATGTTGACACCTGAAAAAAAAAAATGTGTCCAACCGGGCCCGCACAGGCGTATGTGTAATAATAGACGATTTCAAGTGGCCCGTATGCTGAGAGAAGATGAGAAGAAAGCCCACCAAAGATTGTGGATTCTTTAATTTCGGCAATCCAGAGGCCCTTGCGGGCTTATCACCGGGGCCCACACGCGATCCCAATGGCGGCGCCAACTGCGGTCAATCTAAGCAGCAGCAGCTGCTCGGCGCCATATTTCAACTCCGCTGCCTGATTTGTATAAAAATAGATCAATGAAAAGGTACATTTGTTTCAGATTGTTCTCGTATTTGGGGAATAGTTTTCTTCAGAAGTTTATACAAGCTACACTTTTTTTTTTACGGCAGCTATTCAGTAAAGAGTTGCAGACTTGCAGTTTCACAAGCCAACATATGATGTTGACACCTGAAAAAAAAAAATGTGTCCAACCGGGCCCGCACAGGCGTATGTGTAATAATAGACGATTTCAAGTGGCCCGTATGCTGAGAGAAGATGAGAAGAAAGCCCACCAAAGATTGTGGATTCTTTAATTTCGGCAATCCAGATGCCCCCGCCCTGCGCCCTTATCACCGGGGCCCACACCCGATCCCAATGGCGGCGCCAACTGCGGTCAATCTCAGCAGCAGCAGCTGCTCGGCGCCATAAAAAGCAATCATCTTTTCAGAGACAGTGACTGACCGCTTCACAAAACTCGGACAAGGCGTGGCAAGTAGCAGCGGGTGGCTTCAAGAAGGCATCCATTCCACACCGTTTGCCCGTCACACTTCCCAAAATTATTGAAATGCAAGGAAAAATGCGACAGATTGCGACTGACAAGAATTTAAAAAGCCAAATGAATGGTCTGAAAACAATGCTAAAAAATACAAATCCCGACCAAAGACAAGATCAAGTCGCGTATATAAATACGGAGCATCGGGACAAAAGCCCATGGAGGAGTTTTGTAGGTGTCAACCAAACAAACAAACAGATGCTTGTGCCTTTGGTCCCGCTGTGCCACAGCGAGACCTTGAATGTTTCTCGTTAGCGCGGAAATCGCGCCGTCTTGGAGCTGTTTACGTGCACTAGCTCCCGTTGTTCAAGGTCATTTCCCGTCATTTCAATTCCACACACGTACATGGGCGATAGCCGCCCCGCCGCACATTGTGATGCGTAATTAATTCAAAACATAATGCTGGTTTACTACAGGTAATGAGCATCATTAACCAACG